GTCTCTCTTTATGTCGGGTTGGGTATTTTTCTATTGATATGTCTTCATCTTCGCTAATCTTTTCTCCTATAGTGTCTAATCTATTAATTCCACCCAGTGCAATTTTCATATATTTTTTTTCCTGGTACTGAGGATTGAACCTAAGGGTGCTCTACTACTGAGTGATACCCCCAGCATCTGTGTCAGAGTTTGGTTTATTTTGATGATTATTATTTTTTTATGTGAGTCTTGTTTTTCCATTCTTTTGCATATCAAGCAATTTTCAAGTGAATAGCAGACATGATAGATTTATGTTGTGGGCTGCTGATGTTTATTTATTCCTTTTAAATATTTTGATGCTTTGTTCTGGGATGCAGTTAAGTTTCTTAGACAACTGAAGGGGACCCTCCACAGGTCTCCGGAGTTCACTTTGTACAGTTTTCTCCCCTCCAGTACGCTGTCCTAAAAATCTCAGCTGCCACCCTCTGAGCCAATCCTGTCTTCTCAGCTCAGAGAGACCACTCATCTCCCCCGGGGGGAAGCCACCTGGAGATAGCTGGTGTGTTTTCGGGGCTCTCCTTGTTGGGTTCTCCCTGGGATCCCTGTGCCACGCTGCCTGATGGCTCTGGCTTCATAGTTCTGTCTGAATTTTTTTTTTTTTTTTTTTTTTATTGCTAAAGCAGGAGGGTAAAGTCAGTCTCTGTTGTTCTGTCATGGCTGGGAGTGGAAGTTGTATCTCAGGTCTTGATGGCCATTTCCCCAGCCTTGAAGACTGTGTGACAGTGTTGTCATTCCCATGAGCAGCTGCAACTACGTATCAGTCCCTGTTTCCCGGGCTTGCAGCTGACCTGGAGAGAAGCAGGAGACAGGGTGGTGGAGGGTGATAATCCCTGGCCTGTGCACCCCTCAGGGTTCTGTGGTTCTGGCTGTTGGGAGGAGGAGGGGCTGAGTGGAGCTGCTGCTTGCTGGTCCAGCGCCGGCCCGTCCACCCATCCATCCGTATGCACTTCCTCACCCCGTTGTCCTTGTGCATGGGGATTGTTACTGTCCCCTTGAGAACTAAGGCGCTTGCCTGATGTTACAGCTTCTCAAGAGGAGCTAGGATGGGAGTCAGGTGGTCCCGAGGCCATCCATCATCAGAGCAGATCATTGCAAACCCAGACTCTGTCCCATCTCCTGCACTTCCCAGGTGGGGGAAAGTGACTTGTCTGCAGTTGTGCACTGAGTTGAGACCCCTCCAGGGTTCCAGGCTCTGGGGAGGACTGGGACGTGTCTCTCGCCTTCCCCTCTGGAGCACTTTGTCTTCTCGGGAGTCTTCAAGGCCTGGGAGGGTAAGGCAGGTGGGGCTGTTCCAGAGGGCTTGCCAGGTCCAGGAAATTCTCTTCCTCGACTCCTATCTCAGGTTCCAGGCCTTGGGGAGACTCCATCGCTGTGTATCTCCAGAAATGCACCAGGGATCCGAGCTCAAGCCAGACAGGCCRGAGTGAAGACGGGGGAGCCAGGCGGGAGGAGCACTTGGGTTGGGTTTCGAAGGATGGATGGGAATTGTCCCGATTGAGACAAAAATCAGCAAGTGGCCCACAAGGAGACAGTCTGTATGGAGTGCCGGTGGCTTGAGGCAGGGCCACTTGGAGAGAGGGACTGGTGGGGTCAGAGCCCCCCAGGAGAGGTGCTGCTGCAGCCACTGGGCTCATGCACCCATGGTTTCCAGCTGTTTCTGTCTAGCCAGCCTCACCCTGCTCTCCTGGGACGGGTGCTTTCGAGGAGACCTGTGGCACCCACTCTGTAGAGTGGAGTCTGTGGTCAAAGGGAGGCTAGAAAACAGTCGTTGTGGGTGCCGGGAGTCATAGACTGGTGTCGGTGCCTGGTGGGGCCTTTGGGGGTGCAGGGAGGTGGGGTGGCCACTGGCACTTCCTGTCGCAGGCCCATGGGTGGGGCGAGATGTGCCAGCCAAGCCTAGACAGGCTGTGCCGGGCTGTGGGCAGGGCACAAGGGCAGAGAAAGGTGGGGTCCTTCCAAGACGTCAGAGAGGAACATCCTGGGCATCTTGTCGTAACCCTCTGTTCTACCAATGAGGAAACCGAGGCCTAGGGAGGGGGCTGCCCATTCACTGCCCCAACCAGAGCCCCAACTGGGCCTGCTCTCCCTTTTCCGGGGGGGGGGGCTCCGTCTGGGGTTGTGGAAGGTGACTGGTGCTCTCCTCTGCGGGGAGGGTCTTCAGACTGGTGAGAACTTAGGGGTGAGCCAGGCCCACGCTCCCATTAGGCAGATGGGGAAACTGAGGGACCAGGAGGGGCTGTGGCCTGTGTCCTGATTGCTGCAGTCCCTCGTGTGGGCCGGGGAGCCACTGAGTCTCCTTCTCACTTGATCAAAGCTTTTCTGAGACCTGCCTCAGGCCATGCCCCGTGTTGGGCTCTGCCCTTGATGAGCTCTGTGTCACAAGTGGAGCTGGGCCATCCCAACAGATCATTAGGCAGGGGAACGAATGCCACCATCCCTCGGTTTCCTCATCTGCAAAACCGAGAATGGAACTGCTGCCTGCGGTGTTTTTTTGTGAAGACCCAAGCCAGTTGCGGTTGGTTTTCAAGGTCAGTCAGTAAACCTTCAAGCCAGGCGAGCGCTGGGGACTGGCAGAGGGTGGGAACCCAGGGCCTCAGTTGCCGATTCTGGTCCCAGCTTTCCCGTCTATAAAATGGGAAGGCATGATATGTCTCAGGGACCTCTAGGAAACCTTGGTGGCCCGACCAGCGACAGGTCAAGCTGAGAGGGTTGCTGGGAGCACCCGACACCCGGTCCCTATTCTAGCAATATCCCAGAGCCCAGGGAGCCATGTGGCTGGCTGGCCCTGTCACCACCGTCAGCTAGCACCTGTTACGAGCCCTCCTTTGACCAAGAGGCACAGAGCCTAATGCTACCCTGGGGAGAGCCAGCCCCCAGCCATGGACCTGTGGGGGATCCCCGTTGTGGGGCAGGCCCCAACAGAGCCAGCCTCCAGCACACGCACCCTGGAGCAGGTACGTTCTTGGCTAAGGACAGCATGGAGGAACTGCACGTGGCACAGGTCCTGCTGGGGCACGTCCACCCCCCCCCCCCCGCCCAAGCCCAGGGCCAGTACCCATCCACCAAGGTGCGCAGGGCCTGGAACCTGCCCTGACCCATCTAGGGGTGGGAGGGGGCTGGTGTGCCTCCGGGGAGAGGCGTATCGGCTGTGCCCCATCAGGCCCCTTTCCAGGGCAGCACGTGAGGCCATTTGCCTGCCCAGGAGCTGCTCATTCAAGGGCGTCATGGGGCTACAGCAGGTGGAGCTGTGGAATCCCTGGCAAGGAGCTGCCTGCCCCCAACCTCAGGGTATCATTACCCTCGGCTGGTGGTAAAATCCGAGGTCATCAGAGCCACTCAGCGGACATGATGTCTCCTCTGCCCTCTTATCTACCTCCTCCCAAGCAGTCTCTGTCTGTTCTTGAATGCCTCCTGGGTTGGGGAGCTCACTCCCTCTTAAGATACCTGCTCAGCCCTGGGCAGCTCTGGTGAGCACTTCCTCATCTGGTGCTCCCACCTGCCTCCCTTTGGCTTGTACCTGCCAGTCCCAGCCTCTGTGTTGACTGTACCCAAATAGCCCTTCAGACTTGGAGATAGTTACATTGATGAGAAAACTGGATGCCCAGAGGAGTTAAGGGTCTTGCTCAGGGTCACACAGCAAGTTCATAGCAGGGTAGGCATGGAACCCTTCTCTGTGCAGGAGTTTGGGCTTTGGTGCCAGATGAGCAATGGGTGTAGCAGGGGCCTGAGGCCCAGGAGGAGCCCAGATAGGCCTGCAGGGGCCAGCCTGGTGAGCTCACTGTGGGTGTGCAGGCACGTCCCTGGCAGGCTGCARGCTGCCTCCCATCACCTGCATGGACAGAGCCTAGTGGGGGGAGACCTCCAGGTCACTCCTATGGCAAGGGTAGGGTGAGTTTGGCTCCCCGGCAGGCCTGGGTGAGTTCCAGCTTGACTCCCTAGCTTGCTGTGTGGCCTAGGGCATGTTCCTGGCCTCTCTGTGTAAGGTTCTGGGCAGTTCTCAGACTCAGGATAGTGGGGCCATCCTGGAAGGGTGGGAGGAGCAGGCAGCCTAGGGAGCTGGACACCAGCGTGATTCAATAGTGACGGGCACAGGCCCTGGTCTGGCTATTGGCCCATGCTGCCAAGTGGCCAGGGAGGAGGTGAGGCTCCACGGCCAGCCCTGTTCCCATGTCCCCTCTGTCCTGTGCCTTTACTCACCTGGTYTCCTGCCCAGGCTGGGGAAACTGAGGCCACCAATTGGCTAGGACAGGCGGAAGATCGGTAGATGCACTATTGGTGGTGGGGACGGATGTTGTCAGGTGACAAGAACGACTCCATGGTGGTCTGGTCTCTGTTCAGACCAGACAGGAGTGGTGGCAGGGGAGGCCTGCCAAAGTCTGCCCCAGCTCGGGGACACGGGGAGCCCCAGGCGAGGGCCGCCCCAGCTGCTGCGCTCCTCCCCAGCTCTCTGGTTCATCTCGGTGTCACCAGATATTGGGAAGAGGCAGGGCCTAGCAGGTCTTGACCTGGGCATGTGACCAGGAGTGGATCAACACAGAGTCCCTGGGCTGAGCCCCTAGTCTCTCTGGGTCCTCCTGAATGCTGGTCCAAGCATGTGCCAGGGGTAAAGAAGGAGGTGCCCTGGGGAGCCACTGAGGCACGCACAGACAGACGCTTCCCACTCCCCTCTCCGTGCTCCTCACTGTGAGTCAGCTGAGCCATTTTCCGTGGTCTCATCGAACAGAAAGGGCAGGTGCGTGGGATGGGCTGTTTCCTGCTGTCCCCATGGAGCCCAGCCCAAGGCCCCAGCGAGGATCTCTGTGTTCTGAGCGTCCCGTCCTGCCTATCACTGTCCAGTCCTGTTCCTGTGGCTTCTGGGCCAGCGTGTGCCTCCGCAAGACGGGGGTGATCTGCTGAGGCCCCGTCTACACTGCTGGGTTCTTTGGCAGACCCGGTCTCTCTCTCTCTGTCTCTGCTCCCAGGTGATAGCTGTGGTCATGGACATGTTTACTGACGTGGACATCTTCAAAGACCTGCTGGATGCTGGCTTCAAGAGGAAGGTGGCTGTGTACATCATTGTGGATGAGAGCAACGTCAAGTACTTCCTGCACATGTGTGAGCGGGCCCGCATGCACCTGGGACACCTCAAGGTGAGCTGGCCTCCATCTGCCCAGGTGGCTGGAGGGTGAGGATCATTCAGCCAACACACACTTGGAGCACCTTCCTGTTGCGGAGGAGTCCAGTAGGTGCACGCTGAGTTCAAGCACCTAGAGCCTGTGGCCCAAAGCAGTCGCATAGCTTGAATGGCCAGGGGACAAGAGAGTACCTCCAAGAGGTAAACGCTGATTAAGTGCCTACCAAGCAGGTGCTGATGCTCATGTAAGGTATCCTATCACATTAATATTCCACAGCAGCCTGTGCTACATTTGTAACCTTAGGCAGCTCATGGCTCCATCTAGAGAGCTCGGACAATAGGCAGCTCTTTCTTAGGCTAAATGCAAGTCTGTCTCAGTTGCTAAATGCAACTCTGCAAGGTCAGAGTTGAAATGGATTTGAGGTGCATGAGCACAGTAGAACAGATGTTGGGGTTGGGACAGATGATGGAACAGAGGTGGAGAAGGGAGGACCCCCCCACACACACAGAATCGGGAAGTGGGGCCCAGGTTCTCAGCATTGCTTCGCTGTGTGTCCTTGRGCTAGTTGCTTCCCCCTTCCGGGCACCTGGTTCGGCAGAAGGGCAGATGAGATGGTGTGGCTGGGCTCTTCTACTCAGGTACCCTGGCATTTGCTGCTGCCTTTCTGGGGGGGTAAAGGAAGAGTCCTTCTTCCATCCAACCCATGCTTGACACCTACTGTATGCAGAACGTTTCTCTGAGTACAGATCAGCATGCCTAGAAACAGTTGCTGCTTCTGTAGCCTTCCATGTGTGTCAGGCCCCAAATGGGGTACTTCTTTTGTGTTAGCTTATTTAATCCCCCTGATAACCCAGTGGGATTGGTCTGTGTTGTTCCCATTTGGCACATGAGGTAACAGTCCTGTGCCCAGGTGCCGTTGCTGCTAAGCTAGAGATCAGGGGCTGGGGGGGGGAGGTTAGCCCCAGGCTCATATCAACCTCTGAGAGTCCCACCTCTCAGAGCTTCAGGCCTGTGATTGGAGCCCAGATAGATGCAGGAGGGTGGGCCGCGCCAGGTGGTTACCCAGGAGCCGGGCACCAGGCTTGTAATTTGCCGGCAATTGTCAAAGCCCCCCACCCCCACCCCAAGCCGAGTTCTTTCAAGTGGGTGTGAGTTCTCTGCTTCGAGTCTCTAATTTCAGGAATCTTTTTCGTGTGGTCTCTCTGGTAGGCTGACCCTCAGCCCCACGCCTGCCCGCTGTGTAATTAGTGCCGTGATTCCACTCTGGTGGCATATTGCTCCTGCCAGAGTCACAGCGGGGGAAAAAGAGAGTTTGGGAATTGGGCCRCACAGGCTCCAGCCCTATGGGCAGCACCTGTCTGTCCAGCCCTTCCTGCACCCCGGGAAGAGACCCTGGCAGAGCCACATGCCCACATGCACCTGCCACATGCCGAGCGATTGCTTCACACCCGTCGTCACTCGGCCCGCTCATCCCTGGTGTGAGAGGCAGGTACAGCTGTGGCCGCCAGATGGGACCCTGATGCACAACTGGCCACGGGGGAGGCTCGGGGCCCTCACTGCCCCTGTTCTGAGCTCTCTGGGAGTGAGCGGTGAGGGTGGCTGTGAGGTCACGGGAGTCTGGAGAGCTGGAGCTACAAGGGGTCAGTGGCCATCTGGACAGGGCTCCCACAGATGAGGAAACTGAGGGAGGCCAAAGACATCCTGCCAAAGTGGGCTGACCCAAAAGCCAGTAGAGAGACATCGGCTCTGGCAAGGAGAGTAGAGAAACACCCTGGTGCACGCATGGTCTCCTGACCACCGTGTGTGGCTCTAGTCTCTGGGCCTCTAGTCTCTGGGCCTCCAGTGCCTCATGGCTGTGACAGTGCCTCCCAGGGTTACTTGAGGATGGAACTGAAGGACGGTGGTGGTTCCAGCACTTTGAGAGTTGAGAACAGTTATGCAGCTGTTGGCAATAACAATAAATTACAAACCCCAGGCCCTGGGCTTGGGCGTGAGTCCCTTCCCGCCCCATGCACCACAGGCCTGTTGGCGGGCCCCCTGACCACTCGGGGCAGGGGAGGGGCAGCTCACACCGCTGTTCCTGGGCTTCTCCCCCTATCCCACCCCCCGTTTGGCTGTCTTCCTCTCTGGGAAGGCAGCAGGGTTGACAGGGTGGACCTACCCAGGAGCCACACACCTTCATGAGAAAGTGTGAGCCTGGCTTCCTCATTCTCGCCTCTCAGCTACCCCCTCTGCAGCCCTGGGCATGTGGCCAGAGGCTCCTGTGGGCCCAGCCCTGGCCAGGTGTCACCTTGTTGAGGTCCTGCCTGCCCAGCTTCCTCCCTGCCCGCCGGCTGGCTGGGCCCAGACCTGTCTCGGGACACTTCCTTTGCCGGTAATCCCTGGGCCCGCCCTCAGCCGCTTGCTGCCCTGGCCCAGCTCTGCACCGACCTGCCCTGAGTTCTGTGGGGCCCAGAGAGCAGGTTGTGCCTGGGGTGGGGGTCAGATTAGTGACTGTGGGGTGTCTGGAGGGACAGTAAGAGCCACGTCTGAGCCTTACTTTCCTGTCTTTGGGGACAGGCAGGATCCTTCCAATCAGACCCCAGCTGTGGTCTGAGTGCCGAGAGGCTTCCATTTCCATCTGTCTTGAGATTCACCCTCACTTCCTTCCTTCCTCCTGAGCTATGAGCTTGTACATTCTGGGAATGGCCGCCATGCATGCTCAGGCTGACCCACTCCTGGTCTCCCAAGTGTGAGCAATACGTAAAGCCCCTACCCAGACATCCCGAGCACCCAGCCTGCTGCTGGGGGGATGACCCTTCCATATTTCGAATGGAAAACAGGCCTGGGGAAGAAGTCCCAGCCTGTCACCCAGCTTCCTCGCCTCTTCTAGAGTCACAAGACCAGACCCGTGACTAGGCCCCATATAGGGGTGCTCTTGGGTGTGGAGGGGTGCCCTAGAGCCAATGGGAGCCAGATTGGGCCTTGGGGCTCGTGGCCTACACAGACTGGGTACTGTGAGAGGCCCAGATGCTTTGCTTTGTGCAGCCAAACAGGAAAAACCAGCAGCCACTGGGGCGAAGGCTGGACCCATTTCTACTCAACAGAGAAATGTCAGCCGATGACCGTGGGAAGGCCCGACGCCAGGCTCAGCTGTAGTGCAGGTCCCTCACTGGACAGGCCTGCCTGCCTCTCCTGGGCTGGAGGAGGGGTGGGGGAGGACCTCAGATGCAGCCCAGTCAGTGTGGAAAGCAGGGCACGGAGCCCGATGTGGGAGGCGGGCTGGGACCCCCTGCTCCCTTCCCTCTTGGGTACATCTGCACTTTGCTTTCTCTGGCCCAGGCCTGGATCTGTGATGGATCCAGGGGAGAGGGAGGGGTCTTAAATAGGGGTGGGGTGGGGGTCTGCCCTGCTGAGGGCGATGTCCAGAGACATAGTTTACGGTCACAGATCATTTGGCATCTAGGGGTAGAGGCCAAGGATGTTGTTAATGTCCAGACCTTTCCCCCTGAGAATTTCCTCACCCACATCAGTTGTGCTGAGGCTGAGCAGCCCTGGTCTAGAAGACCCAGGTCCCCTCAGATAAGGGCTTGGAGCTAAACTGGCTCAGCCCTGTCCCATCCCTTCCATCCCCTGTCCCATGAAGATGGTTCACAAAAGACTTCCCATAGCCACATTATAGAGCGAAACCTGTCCCTTAGTGGAGACTGGCAGAGGCCCAGTAGCTCAGGCAGGCGGGCTCCCCTGTCACATTGGATTCTGTCCTCGAGCTTCTGCACACTTGTTCCCTGTTCTCAGCCCAGGCCTGGTCGGGGCACATCTGTAGGCCTCCACTCCTCCTCTGACCCAGGATGCACAGGCCTCTTGCAGAGGACAGTCAGCCGAAGACCAGTCCTCAATCCTCTAGTCTGGGCTGAACCCCGCCCACTGGGGGACTGTGGGAAAGTCGTTTCCTCTTCCTGAGTCCACCTGGCCAGCTGCCATTCCAGATGTTTTCTGGTCCCCTTTGTAAGTCACCCACTGCCCTGTACAGTTACAGCCTTTGTGCTACCTGGAGCTCATGGGTCCCTCGGTGAGAGCCAGACACTTTCCAGGACCCTTGCACGTGGCTTCGCAGAGGAGAAATCAGGTGTGGAGAGGCCTTGTTGGTAGCAGGACTGGCTCCCGCATCTGACCGGAGCTYGAGTGCCCAGACCCACCCTGCTCAGTTGGGTCACATGGTCTTATGAGCACAGGTGGCCTGGAGGTAGTTTCAGGTAATGGGCTGCAATTTGCCCCCATATGCACTTGGGGAAGAAGCTGCCCTCTGAGAGCAGATGAAGAGCTGTCTGACTCTCTTCCACTCCCCTGCCCTGCTCTGACTTGCCCTTGACCTGCTGAGGTTCCAGAGGCTCCAAGGATGTACCCAGGACACCCACTTGGGCCAGCCTGCCTGTCTTTCCATGCATCTGCCCATCCTATGCTGGGGGTATCCCGGAACCTCGGAGACAATGCAGCTTTGTGGAATCATCCGCCTCTGCTCACGCGRGCCCAGACACATGAGACGTGACTTCATCCAGGACAGGCCTCATGGGGTGGGGCCCACCCAGGAACAGGCTGGGAACAGCCCATGAGGCAGAGGATGGGGGACCCTGCTGCAAGCCCCCACCTGCTGCCGAGCCCTAGAGTGAGATGAGCCTTTGAGTTTAGGGCCAACCCTTCAGTGTGCAGACAGGGAAACTAAAGACCAGAGAGGGCCAACAGCTTGCTTAGAGTCACACAGTGGGTCAGCAGCACAAGGTCTGCCTTATGTGGTAGTCCCTCCTAAGATGTAAGCGGTGACTTTCCGAGCCTGTCATCAGGACAAAGTTTTGCGGGGAGGAGTGGCACTGGTGAGAGGGGTGTAGAGGCTGGTGGCCGAGGACAGGGATATGGCCCCAGCACACACCACTGGGCGTGGAAACCACGGGCGGCTGCAGAGCTGGGCTGTGGTTGGGCCCGGGTGACAGGAGAAGGCCTCTAAGTTCTTTATTCTGACCTCTCATCCCCAAGTGTGCTCTTGTGTTGGGTACAAAGTCACGAGTGCTAATTGTCCTGGGCCGTGGCCAGCTGTGCAGACAGGCAGCCTGCGGGGCGGGGGCCTAGGGAGCCTTCCCTGGGAACAGAGGCTTATCTGCCTTCTGGGTTGGGCCCAACAGCAAGACGATTGTTCACCCCACGGCTGGGTGAGCATTGCGTGAGGACCCACCCAGGGGCCCATTCCTGTCATATCCTCTGTGGATATGCTTGGGGCTGCCCCAGCCAGAGGGGGGTGGGACACGGAAAGGAGCCCTGGAGCAGGGGACAGTGGTGGATGGTCCTCTCCCTCTTTCAGGTCCTCCTCCCTCGCCTGCAACAGCCCCCCCTTTTCTTCCTGCTGTCTCCGCACTTGTCTCTTACATTCTCTCCTCTAGAAGAGCCAGAACGGTTCTTGACATTTTTGCTCTAAATCCTTCCATGGCTCCCTACTGCCCCTCAGCTTCAGGCTCAGCCTGCCGTGCAGGCTCCCTCACCCACCCTTCCTCCCTGAGGTACTCCTTTGAGCCAGGCCTTTGGAAGTCCCTCTGCCTGGAATGCTTCGCCCTTCTCCCACCCTGACCCATGCCGTCCCTCCTGGGAGCCTCCCCCAGGTCACTCCCGGGGTTCCTCATCCTGAGTGTTCCCGATTGTTGCCGTGTTTACTCATCTGCGTCCCCCAGAGCAGGATCCTTGCCACTGTCATCTCTGTCCACCCCTGGGGGCCTTAGCAGGGGTCAATGAACAATCGAACCTGTGGGCAGTTAATAAGCTTGGCCTTGGAGTGGATAAGGGGACAGGTAGATAAGTCACCGCTCAGTCTGACGAAGAATGTGTCACTGTCTGATGCCCCAAGCTGGTCGAGAGTTCCTGGGAGGGAGCGAGACTCCCCATTGTAGGAGGTGTTCAGTCACACCAGTCAGGATGCTCTTGAGGTGTCAGGATCCCTGAAACCTGTGTGAGAACTAAATTCCCCGACCAGGTGTAGTGGTGCACATCTTTAAACCCAGCTCCCCAAGTGACTGAGGCAGGAGGATCCCACGTTCCAGGCCAGAAACTGAGCAAGGCACTATCTCAAAGCAAAAATAAAGAAAACAAAACAAAAAAAAAGCAAAGGGCTTGGGCTGTAGCTCCAAGGTCGGGTGTCCCTGGGTGTGGTCCTTAGAGTGAATGGACAAACCAGCCACACCAAGAACCCCAAGCCTCATCACAGGCCTCCTGAAACAGACTCTGGGGACACCTGGAGGCCTTCATGCTAGCGCAATGCCCTGGTGAGGCTCGGACCCTATGGCCCCAGGTCCCCTGTCCACCTGGGGCTCCCTTCTGAAAGCCCTTGGGCTGTCCCTAGATGCCTGGGTCTCAGCCAGGCTCACTGTGCACTTCCTGGGTCCACATGTGCAGCGCCGGCTGGAGGGACCTCCRACGGTTCCAGAGACTCCTTTCTGGGAAAAGAGACCCCTGACATGGCCAGGGACCAGGGAACCACCAGCAGCTATTTATCCAGCTCTGCTTCTCATGCCTGGGAGRGTCCTCTCCTCTCTCTGGGTCTCCTTTCCCCTCCTGTGGTCCGAGAGCCTTGCTGACCTGCTTCTGAGCCCAGCCCTGCAAGCTTGGTGAACAATTGAATCTGACTGTTTATTGAACCTGTCTGGGGTGCCAGGAGGTGTCCTGGCAATGGGGAAGTAGGAGAGTTTGCAGAGTCCTGCCCTCAGGAGCAGAACTCAGCAGGGACAGGCATGGCCGGTCACTCATCCGGAGGGACCGTGGAGTTGTTAGAGTGGAAGACCCAGATTCCTCACGGCCATTCATCCCCCTTCCTGCCCCTCACTCTCCTCCCTCCTCTCTCATCTGCACAGCCACTGCTGTCCATGGGACCTTTCCAAAATATCACCCTCCCATTTGATACTGTATGACATAGCTGGACACGGTGACGCACGCCTGTAATCTCAGCTACAAGGTCGGGTGAGGCAGGAGGAGCCCAAGTTTGAGGCCAGCCTCAGCAACTTAGCAAGACCCTCAGCAACTTATGAAACCTGTCTAAAAATAATAATAATCATTTTTTTAAAAATGCTCCAGTGGCTTCTGCCCACCACGGTGGCATTTCTCAAACAGGCCTGGCCACTTAATTTCTATCCTGTTTGGTGCTGTTCTGTGACACCTGGGGCCAAAGCCCAAGACCATCCTGGCTCAGACCCTTCATCACCAGTGCTGGGTCCTCTGTGTCCCCACCTTTACCTGGACCCTGCAGTCTCAGACACACCAGCCCTTTCCCCACATCTCACGATCTCTTTTTTTATCCTTGTCCCCTGCAAAGCCCTCCCTGAGTCCTGGGCAGTCTCCTTCTCTACCCAACCCCCGGAGCTCAGTGTGATGGTTGACTGATTCTGCCTCTCTGTTCCCCCAACACAGAATCTTAGGGTACGCAGCACTGGGGGAACTGAGTTCTTCACACGATCAGCCACCAAGTTCAAGGGCGCCCTGGCCCAGAAGTTCATGTTCGTGGATGGAGACCGGGCTGTGTGCGGCTCCTACAGGTGATTTCTCCATGGCCGATGGTTTCTGCCCTTAATCTGGTTTCTGCCCTTAATCCGGACACCCTGGTTATTCCGGTTCATTGGTCCTAAAACTGCTAAGGTATATGCAGAGCTGGGCACACCTGGCTGCCTGTGTCTGGGGGCGGGCAAGGAGGCTTTTGTCCGRGGAGACGGTTGTTCCAACCTACAGTGTGAACCTGCCTGGAGTTGGGGTGGGGGCCAAGCTGCCCCCCTCCCAAGCCCACAGGATGGTCATTCTGAGAGTCATCAGTGGGGACAGGTGCAACCTTAGGTACCATTAGACAGTGTAGCAGGGCTGCCTACAGTCACTCCAGGGGTGGTGGTAGCTAAGACCCGTGATGGCACTAGCTACYGGGTCCTACTGGACATGAGTGTCTCAATGCATCCAGTAGCAGCCAGGACTCAGTTTCAACTCCACAGCTGTGCCCTGCCCTCTGGGCCCCACAGGCCATTTCTTAGTCCCAGAACCCTGCAGCCACCATCTGGTGCACACCAGCCAGGGGATTCACAGTGGACTCTTTGGATGTCCGTTGCAGCAGGGATCAGGAAGGCTCACTAGAATAGGGGTCTTGGGCTGGAGGGAAGTCCCTGCACCTGACCAGAGCTGCCTCTGCCTCTGTGTTACAGTTTCACGTGGTCAGCTGCCAGGACAGACCGGAACGTGATCTCCGTGCTGTCTGGCCAGGTGGTGGAGATGTTTGACCGGCAGTTCCAGGAGCTGTACCTCATGTCTCAGAGCGTCAACCTCAAGGACATCCCCATGGAGAAGGAGCCGGAGCCAGAACCCATCGTGCTACCGTCTGTAGTCCCCCTGGTATCCACGGACACCGTGGCCAAGAAGCTCGTCAACCCCAAGTATGCTCTGGTCAAGGCCAAGAGCGTCGATGAGATTGCCAAGACCTCCTCCGAGAAAGAGGAGACGAAGCGACCCCCAGGGCTGCGGGGCCCCATGCTGGCTGAGCGGCCAGGGGGGGATTTCCCTGAGCTGCTGCCACCTGTCCATCCGGGACTGCTCAACCTGGAGAAGGCCAATATGTTTGAATACCTGCCCACCTGGGTAGAGCCGGACCCGGAGCCTGGCAGTGACATCCTGGGCTACATCAACATTATCGACCCCAATATCTGGAACCCCCAGCCCAGTCAGATGAACCGCATCAAGATCCGGGACACTTCCCATGCCAGTACCCAGCACCAGCTGTGGAAACAGAGCCAGGAACGACGCCCCTCCCCAGAGCCCTGCCCACCCCCAGGGCCCAGTGACCCCCACGATGGGGTCCCAGCTGAGAATGGTCTTCCCCGGGGAGACCCCGAGCCTCAGCTCCCTGTGCCGAAGCCCCGGACAGTCCCCGTGGCAGACCTGCTTGCCCAGGACGGCAGTGACGTGGACTGGGCTCTGGAGACCCCGAAAGAGGAGACACCTCCAAATGGGACAGACCTCAGGCTACCCAGGACGGTGGACCCAAGCCATCCCCCACTCCAGCGGCAGCTGTCTGTGACCCAGGATGACCCCGATGGCATTGGGTCCGTGTTCCCCAATGGGCTGGATGGTGGGGAAGAAGAGGAAGACGATGATGACTACGTGACTCTCAGTGACCAGGACAGCCTCTCGGGCAGCTCYGGCCATGGCCCTGGACTCCGGCGGCCCTCTGTGGCCTCTTCCATGTCGGATGAATACTTTGAGGTGAGGGAGCGCTCAGTCCCTCTTCGAAGGCGCCACTCAGAGCAGATGGCCAATGGACCAGCCCAACCACCCCGCCGGCAGCTGAGCGTACCCCACATAACCCGAGGGACCTTTGGTGGACCCCTGGGCAGCTCCCCATGGGCACATGGTCGGGGGAGAGAAGAGGCAGATGCATCAAGGAAGATGCAGGCCCAGCGCTCTGCAGACAAGGCGGCACAGGTGGGTTGGGGTCCCTTGTCCCGGGACTCACAGGAGTCCCCCTTGCAAGTGACCTGAGAGCCACCATCCCTTGGGCTACTATGTTTCAGACTTGGAAGGCTGTCCTTGTTACAGACGGAAAAACTGCTGAATGGGCTGGGGTGGGAACCACCCAGAGCCAATTGGCAGGCTGTTACTATGCTGGGGACTCTTGGTCTCAGGGTCCCGACAAAGCAACCTCGGGAAATGCACATGCCCACATCCAGAGGCCCGAACACTTGGAGTCGTAGTATCTTTCTGTTGCCTGTCAGGTGGGTAGTTAAGTCCCCTAGTTTGCAGACAAGGGAATGGCAGAGCACAGAGTGTAAAGGTCACACAACCATAAGTGGTCCTCATCTGGACCTTGTGCCAAGTCATATCTGTGTCCRTCCCTTTGTGGCCCTGGGGACCACTCCCCGCCTCCTTCCATTCTGGGCAACAGCTCATGTACCACTCCTTTGCCTTTCCTTCTAGTCGCCTCTGTAGGACCAAGCCTCAGAATCCCGAGTGCCCTGCAGCCCTGGCTCAGCACCAGAGCCTTCCTACCTGGGAACAGTGCACGGCTGATCATGCCTGGCATGATCATCAGGCCCATGGGCAGCATCTTGAGGTAGCTGGCAAGGATGGAGCCSGCCTTGGCGTGGTTCAGGTTGCGGGCAGATAGAGATCGCTGCACGATGACCTGGGGGCATGAGCAAGAGGGAGTGAATCCCAGCCCCGGGGAGGTTCCTGTGTTAGGGTCTCTCCCAGTGGGCCTCAGGGAGTGGCATGAGACAGGATGCCATCCCATTGGCCCCAGACCTGCTCTAGATAACCACGCAGTGCAGACACTGCCAGCATCCCCCACTGGAACTCACCCTGGTTGGCCACGTCTCTCCTTGTCCCCAGGGACTCCATCTTCCCGTTTGTACAACAGGGAAGCTGTGGCTCCTGCCTGCTCTCCACCTCTGGCAATTGAAAGAGCTGGAGAAGACTGTGGCCTAATGGCATCAGGGTCACAGCCCACCACCCTCATCCCCTGGACCCTCATGAGAGTGGCTGGCCATTCATGCATGTACCAGGAGCAGACATTGGTGCCAATAGTATGTGCCACAGGCAGAGGTCAGGAATGCCAAGACCTGGGATTTAGGAAGCTTGCAGTTCCCTCCTGGAGAGTCTCAGAATCTGCCTGAGATAACCAGCTCCTCTGGGGGCCTTAAGCAAATTTTTTTTCCCCTTTTTCTCTGTAGGGCTAGGGATGGAACCCAGAGCCTCAAACATTGCTAGGCTAGGCAAGTGCTGTACTACTGAGCTATACCCCCAACCATGTAAGCCTCAGTTTCCAGATCTGCAGGATGGGAGAAGGAGGGAATCCTAATTCAGACTGATGAATCCCTCCTAGCTCCAATATTATGTTTTTACTTATTAAAAAAAAAAAAAAAGTCCAGGCATGGTGGTACATGCCTGTAACTCCAGTGACTCTGGAGGCTGAGGCAGGAGGATTGTAAACTTAAGGCCCGCCTGGACACCTTGCAAGACCCTGTCTCAAAATAAAAAAAAAAATGAGACAGGCGTGGTGGTGCATGCCTGTAATCTCAGTGGCATGGGAGGTTGAGACAGGAGGATTTTGAGTTCAAAGCCAGCAAGGTGCTAAGCAACTCAATGAGACCCTGTCTCTAAAATACTGAGGATGTGGCTCAGTGGTTGAGTGTCTCTGAGTTCAATCCCTGACACTCACTTCCCCCCAAAAATAAGAGGGCTGGAGATATAACTCAGTGGTAGAATGCCTCCAGTCTGGTATAATCCCTAGCAATGTCAAAAAAGGAGAAGGGGGCTGGGGATGTAGCTTAGTGGTAGAGCACTTGCCTACGATGGGTTCCATCCTTAGCACTGGGGGGAAAAAGAAAAAAATATGTATATGTGTGTATATTTATATTTTTTTTTTTTTGTGT